CAACAGCGCCGATTGTTTCTCCGATAATTATCTGCACTTGAGCTCCAGCTGATATTTGGGAACAATGGGAAGGGAATTTAACCACTCGATTCAGCAGACGTTTGTGGGGAAGCCCGTTAGAAGACGCTGAAAGGGGTAGAGCAGTAGGGCCGGAAGGGAAAAAGGGAGTGGGAATGGGGAGAAGGGGTAAGGGACCCTTTCCCTTTTCCCCGCTTTCGCGTTTTTCTCCCTCCCCCCTCCCCACTCCCCCTTACGTCTGCACGCAGGCTATTTGTGGGGCAGGAACGCGTGACGAACCTTTAAGAACATCTGCGTGGGAGGCTAGGTTGCAGGTGATAACGAAGGGAACACGCTTTGGTTTGTCCAGTGTGGAAGTGTGCGCTTTTTATCTATCCCCCGAAAACAAAAACAATCTAGAAACCGCAGGATCGGCTCATTGAAACTGTGAATGTAATTTGCATTTAATATCTTACAGGTAGGTAATAATTGTAGGTAAAATATAAATGAATATTCGCTGACCAAGAACCGTAACAATCAGCCAAATGTAGTTGAATCAGTCTGCTAAATGGGCAGCGAAGGCGTAATGCCACCGAAGACATTGAATGCTAGGCAACTCAGCAACTCAGTCAGCTGCTGTTGAAATGATGAACAGCTCATGAATCGAAGAAGAAGCAAAATAATCTTTTGAATATAGACAAGGCATTTATTCTAAGTCCTCTTCAGAAGGGGGTTCACACTGCGAACACACAATATGTCGACGTGTAAAGCAGCCAGGTTAGCGACTTTTAGTTTTACTACTTTGTAACAAGTTTAAAAAAAGGGACAAATCTATTTCTTAACGCTTTGCTTATTACGATAACCAGGATAAATGAGTGAATCTAACATGGATAACTGGTATTTCCTTTTCAAAAGTTACCATCAAGTAAACCATCTTTCTACAAACCGATTCGAAGCACAAGCCCGGAAAGCAGTAGCCCGCGAGGGGCAGACGCTTTTTTCGGCTCTTGTTTCACCCGCCGAAAAAATAGCGGATGAAACAAGACCCGAAAAAAGAGTCTGCTTCCCGCAAGCTGAGAAATCAGTAATGGCTAGAACATGCGACAGGGCTCCTCAAAAATTTTTTGATCAAAACAGTTATATTTTTGGCACTTGATAGCAAAAACTAACCAAGTTTTAGCCAGGTTGTGGCTCCATGACCTGCATATTTTGTGTTGACTACATGAATATACTCGACACAATTTAACATATGTTTTGGACCTATTAAAAAAATTCAGTGTTTTTGCTTTTGGAAAAAGGGAAAGAGGCTAGGAGAATAAATACTGCATGAAACGTAAACGATTTCCAAGAAGAAAATGATGATACTTGAACATGAATTCATGGAAAACCTGTTGTTTGATCGGACGCTTTAATTCTCTGAGAGGATACCTATTTGTCGAGTTAGGATTTCGAGTTGCGAAATGTGTCTAATTCAGGGGCACCCAACGTTAATTTTTGAAAAATATCTGTTCGGAAGACGATTTGAGATCTAGAATTTTCGGAACATTTGTTGTAAAATTTCTTGCTTGACTGCCTCTCCTAGGATTTTCGAACATCTAAAAAATGGTATAGCGGCCCATTTTTAACAGATTTTTAACCTGAAAAGTTCACCTAGAATTTTCGGGAGCCTTTTTCTGGCTGAAATTTTCGGAAAGGTGAGTTTTGATCCCTATAATTTTCGGATCACTAGACTTTCAGCTAGGAAATCCGAACAGGTGAAAAATTTTTAGGGGATAAAAATATGCCTATATCTACCGTTTAAATACTAAAATACGATCAACAATGCTATGTTTAAGTGGTTTTGAACTATATTCTCGTTGGGTGCCCCTGCTAATTGGAAGTTGTTACCGGGTATCGGCGATTTCAGATTATTAGTTACCGGTTACCGATTCCCTACAGGAAACCAATTATGCATTTGTGCACTCTGAAACCAAGAAATAGCTGAGAAATAGCAACCCTAGACATGTGAAGCAACACTTCTTTCACCAATTTTGGAAAGTGAGCGCGTTTACATCCAACTCCTAACCAAGACGTCAACTAAAGAGGACTTTCGAGGACTCTACGTATTTTCACTGCTGTTTTGTTGTTAAGTGCAAAAATTGAAGACTGCGTCGTCATTGCCTGCTTTATTCTTTACATCATCGATAAAACATGAGTCCATGACGATAGAGCTTGGTCTAATACGGACACTTTGGCATACTCTTGAATAACATACCGCTATATATACTTAGATCAATGGTGCACCAAGAATATGAACAATCGACTGTTTTTATTTGTTCAGGACCTCGTAGCTGTGGAATTTTCAAGTTCCTGTGGGCTGGCGTAGAACCAAAAGCAGTAATCGAGCACAATTCATTCTTTCCTGGACAAAAACGAACATCTAGAGACCATGGGATCAGCTCAATGATATCGTGCTTTTAATTTTCATCAAATGCGTTCAAGGTAGGTCATACCAGTTTTAAGATTTTAGTGACAGGCTTAATTCCCAAACTCACTATGTGAGAACGGTTGATAAAAATATTTATACATGTAGTAATATTGCATGACGTGAGGATTTATAGGGTTCATATGGGAAACGTGAAAAACAGGGGCCCGCAAAGACGAATGTTTCCAAATATGTCAGAAGTGTTTCGAATAGTTTTCTCTATGCTTTAGAAGCCTGTTTGGTTAACTTGATGCCTTAAAAACTACTAATTTTCTCCGATGTTTTAGGAGAACTTGAGTCGACTTTAAAGTTTTACATCGCGCAGAACATCCGGACATTTAAGGTAAGTTCACAGACGTTAACGCACGAAAATTTTAATCACGTAAATAAAATAGAGGCAAGACATAAAGTGTTGAGAATAAACGTGAAGTTGAGCGAGGTTCCACTTTTACGCTTACGTGCGACCTTTCATATATTGCCTCTATTTTATTTGCTAACGTAAACTTAACGCACGTACGCACGTAAAAATTACCCGACAGTGGAAAATCAAGCCTTACGCATGATAATGAGCTTCCGCGGCGGGCCATTCAAGCATGAACGTTCCTCAAAAGCGCCACAAGCAAGAGAGGGCGTCGATAAAACCAGGAACACGGAACATTCCGGAACATCCCGGAACATCTCGGAACATAAAAAAATTAAAATATTTTTTATGAAAAATAATTGAGTAATAATTTAATAAATAATAATAAGAAGAATAAGAATAAGAATAAGAAAACAATTTTTGCAAAAAAATTTATAATAATAAAATAAGTACAATGACATAACATAGCAAAAAGAAAGAATGAATGAATGAAAAAGAAACTAGTATCATCTCCGAGTATGAGAAAACAATGTTTTGTCGCAATTAATTTGTTGGGCGAGTGAGGGTCCATTCAAATGACAGTAAAGAGTGAAGGCTTGCCTCTAAATTCAAAATACACAGTATATTAAAGTGGGCGGCGCCAGAAGGGGGGTTTTCATGCTTTCAGTCACACAGCTAGCCTCCCCGCAGACGTCCCCCAAGGGATGTCTTCGGGGAGGCTATCACACAGCCACCTCTTGTAATTTTTTGTCATGAGTTCAATATAACCATTTGACGGTTATGCATTTACGTGTCCGGGTCATAGCTGAATAGAAAGGAAAGGAGCCGTCCGTTTTTGTTTGTTTGTTTTTTGTTTTACCTTGCAAAATAAATCAATCACGGAACCTGATTTGGTTCCGTTGTGTCAGTGTCATGTCTGGAGTCTGAAAAAGGACGAGGAAGTCTGTTTGGATCTCCATCTGATCACGAGAATCACAGCAGCCCCTCCTATAAAAGTTCTAGTTCAATTGTTGGGTCATTATTTTATTCTGCGGAACTCGAAATTATTTTTTTGTAGTTATGTGGGATCAATAGTCAACTTTATTATCCGACGCAAATCAACAAAGGATTTAATTCAAGAAAGTCTAGTCGCCGAGAATAGCTACGCATTAATGTTTCCAAAATGAAATCTCTTCCACTAAAATCCAGTGACGTTGCAAATTCCAAAGCAACAAACAGATTAGAAGATGAATAGATTGCAAACTTCACTTGAGACTCCGGGAGATGGCTGAAATTCTGGCTAACTGATAACAGTTAGAAACTACCACTGCGCTACCTGATTACCGCTGAAACTATTCTCTGCGAATGTAAGTCTTGTCCACTAAAGTCCAAAGCTACAAGCGGCCTTAAGCTCTCCTTGAAGTCGCAAATCCGTATTAAAATGGATAACCGTTAAATGAGTAAACTGCATGGAAACAATTACAAAAGGTGGCTCTGTGATGAAAGCTTGAAAGAGTGTCTTGAAAACCCCCTTCCTTACGTCCAATCTTAATATATTTAGAATATAGAGACAAGCTTCCACTCATTACTAATACTGTCCTTTGCATGGACCCTCACTCGCCAAACAAATTGGGACAAAATACAACCTCGTCTCTAGGGCCTTTCCCTTAAAATTTGAGTGGGCCCCACCCATTTTTTTAAGGGAAAAGCCCTGGGGAAGAGGTTGTATTTTGTCTCAATCTCGTCCCCTGGGCCTCGGAGATGATGCCAGTTTCTTTTTTTTGTTGTTTTCCTTCTTTTTCGTTTTTATGTTATGTTATGTTATTTATTTCGTTATTATAAGTTTGTGAAAATTATTTAATTATTATAATTTTTTTTCATGAAAAATATTTTAATTTTTTCATGTTACGGGATGTTCCAGAATGTTTCCGTGTTCCGGCTTTTATCGATGCCCGGATTTGGGCGAAGGTACCTCACGAAAAGGAGGGCTAATATTCATGCAGTTCTGCAAAAAAAAAAAACTAGGAAAATCCAACGAAAATAGATTAATGTAGACTTTTTGCTTTCAAAACTTTTCTTTTCTGGTGTTTCTAGTATGGGGTTAAGAACAATGGTTGGGTCCGGTCAAAAGATCGAGGACATGGAGTAGCAATCTCGTTCGCAGGGTTCTCTCCTACCCGCCCTACGAAGCGTTCCGCCATGGACTTTGGCAGCAACGCACAAGAAGAAGATATGTCAGATGGCGCAAATAGGGGAACTAAGAGGAAACACAGCGACGCCAGTAAAGACCCTCCCCAGCTTAGTGTTAAACTTCCCCTCATGAATGGTATCCAGTCACCAACAAAGGATCGGAATCATGCACGCCTTCCTGTCGACATTTTGTTACTGACTGTAAAGGACTGTGAGTTCTTAGCTTGTTATATGCACCTGAACAATCCGTTCAGATGTTGGTTCGATGGTCTAGGTTTTGTTTACTTCGAGGGCGAGAATGAAGGCCAAGAGGAGAAAGTAAAAGTTGCTCTATTGCGATGCCATGAAGGTTCTAGTGGTCCGGGAGGCTCCATAGTTACTACGAAAAATGCTGTCTCAGTGCATATGCCCAAGGCAGTTATTTTAGTGGGAACGTGCGGTAGCCTCCGTCCTGAGGAAACCAAATTGGGTGATGTTGTGATTTCTGCAAAGTTGACAACATATGGAGTGAAGGTTGTGACAGATGATAAAGAGCTGCACAATAATACAAGAACGTTTGCCAGCAGACGATTTCTTAACCTCATTAAGGATTCAGCTCTTGGCTGGGAGGCTCCTTTGGAGAACTCGGAAGATCGAGAAGTCAAAATTCACAGCAGGGGTGAGCTGTTGAGCGTTCCAGAAGTAATCAATACAGAATTGCGGCGTAAACATCTGGCTGAAACCTTTCCTCTGGCAGTGGCTGTTGACACCGAAGCCGAAGGTAATGAAATCCCGTGCGGGGAGGGGGTGGGAAGTTGGGGGCTGGGGTGTTATAGCAAAAAAAGAAAAAAAATAGTTCGTCCATGGCAACGCGTCCTTTTTAATTCCCTTAGCGGCAGGTTTAAAAACGAGTGCGAGATTTAACGAGCGCGCAATCAAACTTGATTGAAATGGCAATGCGACTGTCGCTTCATTAATAACGATCGCCGTCGTCGCGACTTCGATTTTGTCGAAAACACCCAGGCAGTGGCTCACCTTTTCGATAATCTGTTCAGGCAGCCTTTCAGGTTTTTAAAAGATTACAGGTTTTGAGAACGCACCTTTCAATTTGATATCCTGCCATTTATTTCATTTCTCAGCTATACTCAATGGTCCATTTATGAGTGGTGCCGCTGTTTCTGTTGCAGGACTTTACACAGCTGCATTTGACCTCCAGGTTGAATGGCTTGTTGTAAAGGGAATTGCTAGTTATGCAGAGGGAGGAGAGAGTACAAATGAAAAATGGCGCCAATTTGCAAGTGTTAATGCCGCTTCTCTAGTTGCCAAGATTTTAAATGATGATGTTGTCTTCAAACGATGGCCTCATTATCAAGGAAACGATGATAATGTTATCAAAGGTAGGTTTGTTTAGTATACACAATATATAATATAGTNATCGGAATCATGCACGCCTTCCTGTCGACATTTTGTTACTGACTGTAAAGGACTGTGAGTTCTTAGCTTGTTATATGCACCTGAACAATCCGTTCAGATGTTGGTTCGATGGTCTAGGTTTTGTTTACTTCGAGGGCGAGAATGAAGGCCAAGAGGAGAAAGTAAAAGTTGCTCTATTGCGATGCCATGAAGGTTCTAGTGGTCCGGGAGGCTCCATAGTTACTACGAAAAATGCTGTCTCAGTGCATATGCCCAAGGCAGTTATTTTAGTGGGAACGTGCGGTAGCCTCCGTCCTGAGGAAACCAAATTGGGTGATGTTGTGATTTCTGCAAAGTTGACAACATATGGAGTGAAGGTTGTGACAGATGATAAAGAGCTGCACAATAATACAAGAACGTTTGCCAGCAGACGATTTCTTAACCTCATTAAGGATTCAGCTCTTGGCTGGGAGGCTCCTTTGGAGAACTCGGAAGATCGAGAAGTCAAAATTCACAGCAGGGGTGAGCTGTTGAGCGTTCCAGAAGTAATCAATACAGAATTGCGGCGTAAACATCTGGCTGAAACCTTTCCTCTGGCAGTGGCTGTTGACACCGAAGCCGAAGGTAATGAAATCCCGTGCGGGGTGGGGGTGGGAAGTTGGGGGCTGGGGTGTTATAGCAAAAAAAGAAAAAAAATAGTTCGTCCATGGCAACGCGTCCTTTTTAATTCCCTTAGCGGCAGGTTTAAAAACGAGTGCGAGATTTAACGAGCGCGCAATCAAACTTGATTGAAATGGCAATGCGACTGTCGCTTCATTAATAACGATCGCCGTCGTCGCGACTTCGATTTTGTCGAAAACACCCAGGCAGTGGCTCACCTTTTCGATAATCTGTTCAGGCAGCCTTTCAGGTTTTTAAAAGATTACAGGTTTTGAGAACGCACCTTTCAATTTGATATCCTGCCATTTATTTCATTTCTCAGCTATACTCAATGGTCCATTTATGAGTGGTGCCGCTGTTTCTGTTGCAGGACTTTACACAGCTGCATTTGACCTCCAGGTTGAATGGCTTGTTGTAAAGGGAATTGCTAGTTATGCAGAGGGAGGAGAGAGTACAAATGAAAAATGGCGCCAATTTGCAAGTGTTAATGCCGCTTCTCTAGTTGCCAAGATTTTAAATGATGATGTTGTCTTCAAACGATGGCCTCATTATCAAGGAAACGATGATAATGTTATCAAAGGTAGGTTTGTTTAGTATACACAATATATAATATAGTGCTCACTTTCATATTGTGCTGTTGTTACTGACGTAACGATATCTTGGAAAACCCAAGGAGATACTAAGGGTTATTTTTCCTATGTCGCTTAGAATAAGACGATTTAAAATGGAAAGGCAATAAGAGAATGCTTAAGCCTTTAAATAACCACTTAATCAGTAAACCTTTGCGTATCCGCGGGTAAAGGTAATATAGTGAAGTTAAATACATTTTGCCTGATCAGGTCCCTGTTAATTCTCGTGTCTCGTCAGTGTCAAAAAGAATTTTTATTACAAAGAAAAATTTGACGTTGATCACTTTCCACACGAATCTGACAGCCATGAAACCGCATTTTTTTTACCTGGATTCATGAGAGTGGACGTGGTCTTTAACAAGGGTCTCAATGGGGTGATAGCTTTGGGGGTTGACGGTTAATTTTTTCCAAATTTTTTGCTCATAAATATATTTTCAGATACAAGTAGGTTGTAAGGTCTTGTAATGCCAAGAAAGAGTGTCTTTGAGGGGCCAGAATCCCGTGAAGATCAGCTGAAATAGTGAGAATTGAAATTACTCTCAGACCACTTAAAATCTACCGTTGCCTGAATTCAAACCCGCCCCCCACTTAGACTGCGAATATAAAGAGGTTACTGAACAAACCGCTTCATTAACACTGAGTATTCATTTGGACTGTCACATATTTGAGTTACTTCCAGAGGCGGTAGTTAAATTAAATTGCCATCTTTATATTATAGTTGGACTTTATGTATTTGCTTTTTTACTTCATTTGATATCAAAGGCCATGCAAATAAGCGTTAAAGTTTCATTGTTTCCTTTTGTTTGCCTTGGTCACCAAAAAGTGCGAATCAAATTTGACTGTCATTCTTTATAATTTACGTCTAAAGGTGTGAGGCCATCGCCCTTGGCAACTTCTCTCCCTAATATGGTACCTTATTTTACTGGGCGTCGAAGCGAATGTGATGAGATCATGGGTTACTTGACTTCTGATACCACCCAGTTCGTGTCGATCTGGGGTTCACCTGGATTTGGAAAAACATCTGTTGCAATTGCGGTGGGACACGATCTCCAACACAAGGGAATGCCCGTCTGTTGGTTGTCCTTACGTGGTCTGAAGGCAAAAACAGCTCTAACTTCAAAGATTCTGGGCTGTATCAGGCGATCTGTCATAAATGAACAGCCCTCGTTTTTGCGTCTTTCTCTTGATGATCAGCTTTGTCAGCTATTAAGCGAAATTTCGGAACGATCTTTTTTCATTCTCGATAATGCTGACGATTTGTTTGAAAGTGGTGACCCAAAAGTAAAGGAAGATGTTTTACAACTCATTGAAGAAATTCTCAGGCGCAATGAAAAGTTGAAAATCGTAGTAACAACGAGGGAGTCTCTGGAGTTTATGAACGTACATTTTCAACGCCACAAGAGTGTAAGGATAAGAACATTAGAAGAAGCCTCTGCTCAGACCTTAGTTCATGAATTTCTTTCAAACGCCAGTTCTTCAGACTATCGGCGAATAACGAAAATCTGTGGCTTTGTACCCTTAGCAATTAGATTATTGTGCTCCTCGATTTCTGAATATGAAGGTCAACCGAGCCAGTTTCTTGATGAATTAATGCAGGACTCCGCTTCAGTGAGTATCATCGAGGTGCTAGACATCCCAGATTATCCTTCCAATCTCCGGTTGCAAGGTCTTTTTTCCTCATCTTTCCAAAGACTAAATGCACAGGAAAGAGAAGCACTAGTGTCGTTGAGCATTCTTCCTGATAATTTCGGTACTGAGGTTGCTGCTGCCGTTTTGGATAAAAACATTATTCTCTCCTTGAAGATACTGCAAAGCTTTCGGAGAAAGTCACTTCTTGATTTGGGTTTGCAGGAAGAGTTCTTCACGATGCACAAACTGATTCAAACATTTGCAAGAGAAAAGGGACTAAATGAAATGAAAGACACGGTCCTTAAATCAAAGCACCGTTTGCATTCGTTTTACGTGTCACTGTTTGAGAAGCTGAATGGGCAATATCTCACTGGTCATTCAATGGAGGCCTTTCTGGCATTCTATAAAGATGAGCAAAGCATTGTTCAAAGCCTTCTGGAGTCTCTCTCTGATCCCATTACAGCACGCGCAGTTTTTGAGGTGTTAGCTGAGGGAGAGTTATTTCTTGATAACCTTTATTTCTCTGAGGGATCAACCTTTTTCAAAATTTACGATTCAGCGATTGAGGCTGCGAAGAGGCTGGAGGCAAACGAGTCTTACAGTCAACTACTGGTTTCAAAGGCGTTCGGAGAAGCATCTTGGAGACCGGAGAGAATTACGACGCAGTTGCTTTGTAGAGCGAAGGAAACTGCGGAATCCTCGGCCCTGCCATTAGTTTCCAAGTCAGAACTACAAGGAAAACGCCTGTGTTATTTAGGCATCAACTACCTTGTTAACGCTAAAACTGAAGAAGGAGTTCAGTCTTTGCGAGAGGCTCTTCAGTTGATGCATGGACGCCCAGATTTGGCAGTCCTTAGGCTTGTTGCTCTCCAAATTCTAAGTCATTTTTCCCAAATTCAAAGCCATATGGTCGACTCGAATCAGTCACTGTACAGTGCAAAAAAGGAATGCAAGGCGGTAGGAGACATGGATCTACTTTTGATATTCTCAGGGAAAAACGAAGAGAGAAAAACTGAAGTAGAAGAAAACCAAACAGACTCTAGCATTCTTTCTAACCATCCTCTAAGATGGCAAGTACTTGACCTTGTAAGCAAGGCAACGAAGAACTTCGTGGATAGTAATACTAAGCAACATCTTCGAAATATTTCGCGTAAAATGGTGAAAGAGATCGAAATAGAGCAGCACGTTTCAAGCGGTCTCTTTCGTTTTCATCGAAATGTTATAACCTTATTTGAGACAAGTGGAGACATTAAAATGCTCCTTGAATCAAGAATCAGTTACCATCAAACAGCTCTCAGTCAATGCCACGAAAATTCCTCCGCTTACCACGTGCACAGTGAAGCTCTTGCAGCGTGTTATATGGATCTTGGAAAAGTTCTCTCCCGGAAAAATCAATATTCTGAAGCCTCTAAAGCCCAACAGCAAGCACTAGGCTTGTCAATGCCTCTTGAGGGAGAAGAACACGCAAGCACCGCTGATAGTTATCATGGGCTTGGCGTCACTCACCATTCACTTGGAGACTTCAAAGCAGCACTAGATTCTGAGCAGCACGCACTTGAGATCCGTCTTAAACTGTTCGGAGAAGAACACGAAAGCACCGCTTATAGTTATCATGAGCTTGGCACCACTCACCATTCACTTGGAGACTTCAAAGCAGCCCTAGATTCTCTACAACACGCACTTGAGATCCGTCTTAAACTGTTCGGAGAAGAACACG